AGAGAGAGAGAGAGAGAGAGAGAGAGAGAGAGAGAGAGAGAGAGAGAGAGAGAGAGAGAGAGAGGTTTGTTAGGGAGCAGAAGAGCACAACACAGTTGTCACACCCAATGAGTCCAACTTCACATGATTTTCATCAGCCAAGGGCAACAACAGAGATTTCCTTAGAGATCTATATAAGAATTGAAGACGATCATCCTTGCCGATATCCGCGACAACTGGACCGATAGCAAGAAAATAAGCATGGCCCCTGCGCAAGGATAATGTACCACATGGCACATGGAAAAAAAAAAGTAAAAAAAAGTGAAGATGATTTGTGATGATTTGTGCATGTTGGCAATCCTCAAATGAAAAGTACATCATTCATTCTAGAAGCAAAACCCAGGGGACTCACTCCCGGCCATGCAGGCACTGCAGGCTGGCAAGTCACAAACAACATCCTCAACAAGAGTATATGTCATTCTTCCACATGAAATACATGAGGCTAAATGCAGAAAAAAAGATCTCCCGCAATTTGACCAATTCAGAGCATGAGACCTAGAAGATACACAGGGATAGGGGCAACAAGCTAGTATAGAACAGTAATACAGTATAGAACAACTGTGGCATGTTATAATTGTTATAAAACAGTTATACTAAATAGTAAATACTAAATAGTACGAAATACTGAGGATTTCAAAAGAGATTCAAGCTCACTAAATCAGCGAATCCAGTTCAACTGGTCGCAACGAAAAACCCTAAACGCAAAACAGTCGCAAAGATATAAAAAATTCAAAAATGCCAAAAGGCCTAGGGTGAATTAACCCGAGTGAGTTGCTAAGATACTCGGAGTAAATTTTTGACGAAAGTAATTCAGTATATGATGCAAGACTCGAGGGATGTCACAAAATAACGCTCGTATGTGGTGAACGCGTGATTGTACTTCACAATTACAAAGGTTTGCCACAGCTAAAGAAAAAGCATGTTCCTGTGCCGTCATAGAAACATAATAATGTAATCGACCAAAATAAGGCGACGCTTGAAGATACGTTTTATTACTTTATAATACTCATATAATATTATAAATTGATATAATCTCATACTCAACTAATTTTTACGTACCTCGAGTCAACTATTGATTTGGTCAGTGAGTGTTTTTTGTTGTGCAGTAGCAGAAAAAGCAAATTATCTTTATTATTTTATATTCAATTAATTTTTACGTACCTCGAGTCGACTATTGATTTGGTCAGTGACTGCTTTTTGTTGTGCAGTAGCAGAAAAAGCAAATTATCTTTATTATTTTATATTCAATTAATTTTTACGTACCTCGAGTCGACTGTTGTTTTTGTCAGTGACGGCTTTTTGTTGTGCAGTAGCAGAAAAAGCAAACTATCTTCTTGGTACCGAATTTTAACGGTATCGTTCCAATTTTAACCGATGTCCTGAAGAACCTCCCGGAGTCCCGGATGTGTGCCCGTATTCTAAAGGACATTAAGCATCAGAAAGGAAGCTTCATGTCACAGGACCTGTACTCGTAATATGAAGACATTACTTAATGCACTTCGAACATGATAACGACTATATTCGTTCCACAGCGCTGTTATTGGTTTTGCAGTTAGATTCAGATAGATTCAGAAGATGTAATTAGCATACTACTTATAATTAGCATACTACTCAATGTGCTTCCAAGTTCCAGTACTATAACGTCCATTCAATGCAGGATGCATCTCTCTCTCTCTCTCTCTCTCTCTCTCTCTCTCTCTCTCTCTCTCTCTCTCCACCTAGCTTGATGGGTAAGCTACACGCTACATTGCTCGCATTGACTCCATGGTAGCACATTGACAGTTGAGTATACACTCTCATCCCCACTTCAGTAAAAAGAGGTCAAGGGGGAAATTCAAAAAGAGAGGCGTTAGCCCAAGAGGCCTAGCTCAGTTGGTTGAGCACGTAAGTGGTACACAGGAGGTCGAGGGATCGATTCCCCACGACCCCTGTGTGGCATACTTCGGATTCACCAGCTGAGAAAGTCGGCGGCTTCTCCCTCCTGGCTGGCTGTGGAAGTTGTCTGCCTTTTCAGCCCGAGAAAGGTGTTAGGAGCTTGGGTGCCGCTCCCCCACACAGAGCAAAGTTAGGTAGGCGTAGACCCATAACCTTAGGATATATAGCTTAGTCCTGGTTAGTAGATTTAAGGCTGGTCCTCTGTCCAATGTAGGGCGGTTCTTAGCTGGTAGAATTAGGGGGTAATATAGTTAGCCTCCCCTTCTGTAGTCTCTGACCCTAAACCCAAGTACATCGCCCGGGTTAGGTAGTGTGAGATAGAAAGAACATTGAGAGAAGAATATAGCGTAGTAAATGCAGCTGTCCCCCATATGAGGAGAAGGCAGCTTGCACTTTTACATTTTTTTCATTTAAGAAAAAAAGAGATACGTTAAAGGCAGCTAGTCTGAGGTTGATACAAAGATTGCGAGACGAAAATAGGGTAGTAAATACAGCTTGTCCCCTATATACGAAAAGACATGCTTTAGAGGCAGCTAGTGTGAGGAGAGGACAGCTGTATTCTTTTATTGAGAGAGAGAGAGAGAGAGAGAGAGAGAGAGAGAGAGAGAGAGAGAGAGAGAGAGAGAGAGAGAGAGAGAGAGAGAGAGAGAGAGAGGGCACCCTCGTAAATACCCACCTGGATAAGATACCAGACGCACCGCCATGCCGCCCTGGAGAAAACAGGTGCCATGATCTCCACGAAACTGCGCAACAGCGGAAAGGACGGAGTTTCCATAAAAATAGTGCTAAGTGCGAATGCATGGAGGGCAAGAACACATTTTCCCAGTACACATCGATCATTTCGTACATGCTGCAAGAACATGCCCGACACGAAGACGAGAAGAGCGCTGGCACAGCTGCAACAAGTACAAAGGGTCACTTGCAAGCATCTCAGGCAGTTCTTTCCTTTTGGGCTTTCTTTTCTTCTGGGGTATCTGTAGCCGTTAAATTAGGGTATCTTTCTGATCCCATCAGGATTTCGACTCATTTACAGCTGCGGGCGTGCATCATTCACCAACTATGCTGCTGGCTATGTCACGTGGGGTTCTGTAAATTTTCCCCATGCAACTTGCACTAAGTTGTGCGATGGAGCGATCAGCCGCCAAAGAAGCCACCTGGACACGTGGATATCATGCAGATCGCGATAACAACGGGAAGCTATGTGGTGGAACGATCAGCAGCGAAAGAATCAACGAACACAAAAGTGACAAAGATGAAAGGAAAAATTCGTTGTTTAACTGCTGGTACACCAATGAGCAGACCACAATAACAACGGAATATCGCATTACAGCATCGCAGAAGGGATATTCATTTTTTTGTCAGATTATTTCTTATCACCTGAAGCTGCGTGAAGCACTCATAGCACAGGTAACAGTAAGCCTGCTCCTGGTGAAGGAGTCCGACAAGACCCAGGAGCATGGCAACATTAGCAAACTCAAAAACTGGTTCGCAGATCATCCAGAAATTCGGGCAGCTTCCACTCAGGAAGGTGTTTCAATAAATCAGTCATCGATGACCCGTTTTATCAAGTTTTACATTTATGCCTTTTTTAAGTTTTTTTTTCCTTGAAATGTCTCTATACCAAAAAGTCAGCTGTGGTTTTACATGGCAAGAAGGCAATTTACAAAGGCAGACAAGCGCTGAAGACAGAAGGCCATTGTTGACTGTGGCAGCTGCGTTTCCTCCCCCTCCCCTCCCCCACCAACCCCGTATGTATCTATCTGGTTCATCAGGATTCGAACTCATGATCTCTTATTAAGAGTCTTAGAGTCACATATGTGTACCATTCAGCCACATGAGCTGGATGTAAGACGTGCTTTTCCATGGCAAGAAGAAAGCAGCTTACAAAGGCAGACAAAGGTAAAATACAGAAGCACATAGGCAAGCAGAAAAACAGTGCATGTAAACTATCCCCTGCGTCAAAAATCCTTCACCTCCCTCTCTCTCTCTCTCTCTCTCTCTCTCCCCACCCCCTCCTCCATACACACTTGCCTCACTTCATGGCCACCACCATGATCACCTCCTGCCCACCTGCCTGCGGACCCACTCTCTCCGACGCTCCACACTCGCAACACTCTGCTCTCTCTAGCATCTCCCTTCTCTTTATCTACAAACCCTCTACTCTCTCCCTAATGCGCACACACGATCTCACACACACAGAGGGCCTGTTGCTGCTCCCACCTACCCTGAACACGGCGGTGCGTGCACACTTGCACAATATCCTGGCTGCTCCATCACAAACCTGCACAACAGATACCCACCATCAAAACCATGTTGCCCAAGCCATAATCAGCACCAGAAGTTTGGGGACCTGAATGGTTGGCACAAGTTTGAAATACCAATACCACAATACTTATAACACGTTCCCACAGAAGATGACCTGCTCCAGTGAAATGAGCCAAGTGCTCGTCATATATCAATGAACATGCACATGAGAATTCACACATGAGAAGCCAAATTGAGATGCAATCAACACTTGAATATGCCGTCTCCAATATTATTATCAATTTACAAGAATGTTTGTCTCCGGCGGCTCTGCCGCACACACACACACACACACACACACACACACACACACACACACACACACACACTCACACACACACAACAGATCCCAATCAGGTGGCAGCTATGGCTTCTCTCCCTTCTCTCTCCCTCTCTCTCTTGTCTTGCTTCTCTCTCTGACTTGGCTCGCTCC